GTCCTGGGGGGAAAGAAATGGTGAACTGGAGATGCTGCCCCTGGGAGACAAAAATGGTGAAGCTGGAGGTGCGTCCTGGGAGACAGAAATGGTGAAGCTGGAGATACTGTCGGGGAGACAGTAAGGGTGAAGCTGGAATTTTTTGTCCAGGTAGTCGGGAATTTACGCGGGAAGGGAAAATACATATAAAGACCTCATAGGGGAAGGAGCCATAGGGGGAAAAACAAGTGTAGTCAAAGATAAGATAAAACCATTTTCAAACTAGAAATACCGCGGGAAAAAATGCAAACAAGAGGACCCAATAGCAATAGTGAGGATAAATTCCCAAATAAAAAACTGGTGGGAGTCCATTGTTGGTGTGGGGAGGATAAAGTAAGACGGGGAAAAATGCACCAACAGGGAATACAGTACAGAAACCAAGGCAAGGGGAAAAACAAGCCTGTGCACATATATGCACTTGGTTCTGCAGGAGGGGGAAATCGGGGAAAAACGAGGGGGACATGCAACTATGACCCCCCTAGAAAATGCCATGCCCTATGAAAACAGGAAAATGAAACCCCCCCTGTAAGTTTTTTCCCCTGAAATGTGTCCCTCTTCAGTACGGGAAAAGATGGTATAATTAAAATTTTCCGGCACCATCTAAAGGGGAAAAAAAAGAACAAAAACCCAGGCCTGGAAAACCTGGGAGCCACACCCACTCAAGGGGGGGAATTTTTTTTTAGTGCCGGGGAAGAAAAAAAACTGGCAAAAAATGGCAGAAATCGTACACCAAATCCAGTCATTCCTGGAGTGGAACACGTGATGGCCTCCACCCCCAAACCAACGATACAGATACTAACCCGGAAAAAATTCCCCCCCAGTACCAAAAATCCCACAGTCCGATAACATTTTCTTTGCAAATATAAGGGTTAAAGCCGCAACAAAAAACAAAAAACCTTTCATCCGTGGATGCTTCAGAGGCAAAGTCAAAGTTCGCGGGTTTCACTGAGACCCCATAAAGGATCACTTGGCAACGAAATTGGATCCCCGGTTACAACCTATACAGAGTGCAGAGTGAACAGGCAAAAGGGGGGGGGTTTGGCCCGTACATTGCAGGTCACTTGTTTGCACGAACTGCTTAATGCCTCAAAAGATGTAGTGGAAGTTTTAGCAGTAAAAAGGTCGAAACCAAAACCTGTCATTGTGGTAGTCTACAAGCCTCCGGTGCAACATCCCAGCAATTCCGGAAAAACTGTTAAAAAATGCCCCTGTTGGAAAATCTTCCCGCTCCCGCCCAAAATCTTGCTCCCGGGGGGCTTCAACTTAAGGGACTAAAATGGAGGAATTAGCAAATAAAATTGTTGCAGTAATAACACCCGAGGAGCTCTGATGAAAACTCACACTCACCGAGCTTTTAAATCTCTGCACAAAATTAATTTAAAACCCGCAAATAATGAGCCTATAACTGGGAATACACTAGACCTCATCTTCATAACAATGATGATCTGATAAGAAATGTCACCATATCAAAAACAATATACTCAGATCACAACATAATTGAGGTTCAGACATGTATGCGTGGAGCCCCAGACCGACAAAATGAGACTAGTCACGAGGGAGCATTCACCAAATTCAACTTCAATAACAAAAACATAAAGTGGGACCAAGTAAAACCAAGTCCTAACCGATATAAAGCTGGGGAGATATACTAAGCAACACAGACCCAAACTTATGCCTAGAACAGATTAACTCGGTGGCACTCGATGTATGCACAAGGCTAATTCCTCTAGAAAAAGGAGGAGTAGATGTAAAATAGAAAGAGACAGGCGCTCCTTTACAGGCGACGGAAAAGAATAACAGAGCGGCTAAAAGAGGTCAATATATCTGAAATGCGCAGGGAGACACTGGTCAGAGAAATAGCAAGCATCGAACTTAAGCTAAAAGAATCCTTTAGGATCAGGAATCGCGGGAAGAACTAAAAGCCATAAATGAAATCGAAAGAAACCCAAAGTATTTCTTCTCCTATGCCAAATCAAAATCGAGAACAACGTCCAGTATTGGGCCCCTACTTAAACAAGATGGGTCCTACACAGATGACAGCAAGGAAATGAGTGAGCTACTCAAGTCCAATATGACTCAGTTTTTAGCAAGCCGCTAACCAGACTGAGAGTCGAAGATCAAAATGAATTTTTTATGAGAGAAGCCACAAAATTTGATTAACACAAGCCTATCCGATGTTATCCTGACGCCAAATGACTTCGAACAGGCGATAAATGACATGCCCATGCACTCTGCCCCAGGGCCAGACTCATGGAACTCTGTGTTCATCAAGAACTGCAAGAAGCCCTATCACGAGCCTTTTCCATCCTATGGAGAGGGAGCATGGATATGGGGGTCGTCCCTCAGTTACTAAAAACAACAGACATAGCCCCACTCCACAAAGGGGGCAGTAAAGCAACAGCAAAGAACTACAGACCAATAGCACTAACATCCCATATCATAAAAATCTTTGAAAGGGTCCTAAGAAGCAAGATCACCACCCATCTAGAAACCCATCAGTTATACAACCCAGGGCAACATGGGTTTAGAACAGGTCGCTCCTGTCTGTCTCAACTACTGGATCACTACGACAAGGTCCTAAATGCACTAGAAGACAAAAAGAATGCAGATGTAATATATACAGACTTTGCAAAAGCCTTCGACAAGTGTGACCATGGCGAAAATAGCGCACAAAATGCGCGCTAAAGGAATAACAGGAAAGTCGGTCGATGGATCTATAATTTCCTCACTAACAGAACACAGAGAGTAGTCGTCAACAGAGTAAAGTCCGAGGCAGCTACGGTGAAAAGCTCTGTTCCACAAGGCACAGTACTAGCTCCCATCTTGTTCTCATCCTCATATCCGACATAGACAAGGATGTCAGCCACAACACCGTGTCTTCCTTTGCAGATGACACCGAATCTGCATGACAGTGTCTTCCATTGCAGACACTGCAAGGCTCCAGGCGGACATCAACCAAATCTTTCAGTGGGCTGCAGAAAACATATGAAGTTCAACGATGAGAAATTTCAATTACTCAGATATGGTAAACATGAGGAAATTAAATCTTCATCAGAGTACAAAACAAATTCTGGCCACAAAATAGAGCGAAACACCAACGTCAAAGACCTGGGAGTGATTATGTCGGAGGATCTCACCTTCAAGGACCATAAACATTGTATCAATCACATCTGCTAGAAAAATGACAGGATGGATAATGAGAACCTTCAAAATAGGGAGGCCAAGCCCATGATGACACTCTTCAGGTCACTTGTTCTATCTAGGCTGGAATATTGCTGCACTCTAACAGCACCTTTCAAGGCAGGTGAAATTGCCGACCTAGAAAATGTACAGAGAACTTTCACGGCGCGCATAACGGAGATAAAACACCTCAATTACTGGGAGCGCTTGAGGTTTCTAAACCCGTATTCCCTGGAACGCAGGAGGGGAGAGATACATGATTATATACACCTGGAAAATCCTAGAGGGACTAGTTACCGAACTTGCACACGAAAATCACTCACTACGAAAGCAAAAGACTTGGCAGACGATGCACCATCCCCCCAATGAAAAGCAGGGGTGTCACTAGCGCGTTAAGAGACCATACAATAAGTGTCAGGGGCCCGAGACTGTTCAACTGCCTCCCAGCACACATAAGGGGGATTACCAACAGACCCCTGGCAGTCTTCAAGCTGGCACTGGACAAGCACCTAAAGTCAGTTCCTGATCAGCCGGGCTGTGGCTCGTACGTTGGTTTGCGTGCAGCCAGCAGCAACAGCCTGGTTGATCAGGCGCTGATCCACCAGGAGGCCTGGTCACAGACCGGGCCGCGGGGGCGTTGACCCCCGAAACTCTCTCCAGGTAAACTCCAGGTAAACTCCAGAGGGCTGAGGAAGGGTTGTTGAGGTGGTTTGGACATGTAGAGAGAATGGAACAAAGCAGAATGACTTCAAGAGTGTATAAATCTGTAGTGGAGGGAAGGCGGGGTAGTGGTCGGCCTATGAAGGGTTGGAGGGAGGGGGTAAAGGAGGTTTTGTGTGCTAGGGGCTTGGACTTCCAGCAAGCATGCGTGAGCGTATTTGATAGAAGTGAATGGAGACAAATGGTTTTCAATACTTGACGTGCTGTTGGAGTGTGAGCCAAGTAACATTCGTGAAGGGATTCAGGGAAACCGGCAGGCAGAGACTTGAGTCCTGGAGATGGGAAGTACAGTGTCTGCACTCTGAAGGAGGGGTGTTAAAGTTGCAATTTTATAACTGTAGTGTGAAGCATCCCTCTGGCAAGACAGTGATGGAGTGAATGACGATGAAAGTTTTTCTTTTTCGGGCCACCCTGCCTTGGTGGGAATCGGCCGATGTGTTTAAATATATATATATATATATATATATATATATATATATATATATATATATATATATATATATATATATATATATTTTTGTATGTATGTATATATACATATATGTATAATCTGTGTAGAGTAACGACAGTTCTGAAACGTTCAAAATGAATGTTCATCATACCTAACATAGGTATGACTAGAGAAGCAAATCTTTTACAATGGTTATTGAAAACATATAAAAGTGTGTTAATAGAGCAAACAGACAGGAGTCAGTCAGTGCATAAAAAAATATTCACTTTAATTGACTGGTTTACCAAGAATTATTTTCATACAAGACTCCACAGTGGTGCCGACACCAAAATCTTGAGAAAAACTAGCCTGCCTACGAGGCAATTAGTTAGAGCTATTACTGGGGATCATAGGAGCCGGCTGATTGGTCTAACAGAATGTCCTTTTTGGGAACTATACAATTTAGAGGTTAGTACAATCGTCTGTCAGTCTGTCAGTGTACAAAAGTCCATTCAAATTATGTCGTTTTCAGTGTAAACAACAGGGTGCTTGATTCATTTGTGACTGCCAAGTATACATGTTTTGTTTTTATTCAACCTGATAAATACATTATATTCTATGCTTCCAACAGAGTGTTCGGTTTACTGGGAAAATACAATAAGTAAAGGATTAGAACTTGGCATGAGATGCTTACCCAATGGTAACTTTGATCCCCTGCAGTGCTTCGACAACCACTGCTTCTGCTACGATCTCTCTACCAGCAGTGTTCAATCAGGACCCTTCAGTATCGACATGCTTATATTTATGTCATGCTGTAAGTAATGACTATAGTTTTGTAAAAGATAGATATTAAAATATATATATATATATTATATATATATAAATAAAATATATATATATAATATATATATATATATATTTTATATATATATATATATATATATATCACCGAGGCAGGGGTTTCCTGGAGTTTACCTGGAGAAAAGGTTTCGGGGGGCAACGCCCCGCGGCGCCGGTCTGACACCAGGCTCATGGTGGATCAGGGTCTGATCAACCAAGCTGTTACGCTGGGCCTCGGTTGGTTCAGGTACTGACTTCAGGTACCTCTCTAGTGCCTTCTTCAAAACAGCCAGAGGGCTATTGTTAATCCCCCTTATGTATGCTGGGCGACAATGAGCAATCTTGGGGCCCGACACTTATGTGTGGCCGAAAAAAAAGAAAAAAAAATTTCATCATTCAACACTTTCACCATCACTCATACATAATCACTGTCTTTGCAGAGAAGCTCAGATACACAGCTTAGAACGTTCCTCCAAACTGCCAAATTTCCCAAACCCCTCCATTAAAGCACAGGCATTGTACTTCCCATTTCCAGAACTCAAACCGCTAACCGGTTTCCCTGAATCTCTTCAAAAAAATATTACCCCCGCTCACACTCCATCAGAGTCAGGCCCTAAAGCCATTCGTTCCATTCACTCCTATCTACCATGCTCACACTCGCCTCCTGGAAGTCCAAGCCCCTCACTAACAAAAGCTCCTTTACCCCCCCCCCTCCAACCTTTTTGAGGACGACCCCCACCCACCCTTCCTTCCCTCCAAGTCATTCTACTTTGTTCCATTCTCTCTAAATGACCAAACCACCTCAACAACCCTTCTTCAGGGCCCCCTGATTAATACTTTTTTGTAACTCCACACCTTTTTCCCAATTTGCACACTATGAATTCTTTGCACAATATTTACACAACACATTTCCCTTAGACATGACATATCCACTGCCTCCACCACCTTCTCACTGCATATTTACAACCCAAACTTCACACCCAAAAGATGATGGGACCACTATTCTCTTGTACATTCGCTTCTTTTGCCTCATAGACAACGTTTTTTTGTCTCCACACTTTTTTTTCCTTCATCATTTTTTTTGGTTACCCCCATCCTTCATAAACCATCCATGAAATGTTCAGAGCATGTAAAAAAAAAAATTATACCCCCCACAACCACTCCCCCCAAACTACCCCCACAACTTACACTGCCCCACACTCCCTCTCTCGTTACCGCCCACAACATCTTCCCCCACAAGAACTCTCCTCTCCTCCCACAATCTTTCCCCCACAACACGATCCCCGGCCACACATCCCCACCCCCTACCCACCCACACAAAAACGCGCCACAACCCCCCCACACACTCCACCCCCCCAACCTAACCCCCCCCCACACTCCTCACCCCCCCCATCACACCCCCCACACATCCGCCTTCACTACCCCAACAACCATGATCCCCCCCACCCAACCCAACCCCACCCGCCATCAAACCACCCCCCCCCCCGCACCACCCCCACAACCCCAACCCCCCCCCCCACTCCACCCCGCCATACTACATACCGCCCCCCCACCCTCCCCGCACAACCCCCCCCCTCACAACACTCCCACCCGCACCCACATCCCCCCCCCACACACCCACTAAACAACCCAGACCCTCCCCCCCACTTCCGCCACAAACAACCCCCCGACTCTCCCTCCTCACCCCACCCCACAAACAAACCCCCCACAACACACACCCCCCCCCAAACTACCCGCCCACACATCCCACAAACTATCCTACCCACCAACCCACTCATACATCTCGCCCACAATCTACCCATCAACTTACCCCCGCACACACACCCCTCACCCCACAAACAGAAGCCCCCCCACCACCCTCCCCCACTACCTTTCCAAAGCATACCCCCCACACACTCCACCTCATCCCCACAAATCTTCGCCCTTCCCCCCACTCACACACTCGACCACACCACAAACATCCCCCGCACCGTCCACCCGCAACAACAACCCCCCCCACTCTCTCACCCCACAATCATCACCCCCCGCACTCATCTCCCCCACACACATCGATCAAATCCCCCAGCACACACTCCCCCCCAACTTACCCGCCCCACCCACACATAACCCACAAACAACCCCCACACGTCACCTCCCTCCCCCACACAACCCCCTACCCCAACCCTCAACCTACTACCCCCCCCCACACCCCCCCAAACTACCCCCCCTACACACTCCTTCCTCCTCGTCCACCTCCCCACAATCAATATCAACCCCCCACACCACAGACCCCCACCAATCATCCCCCCACCCACGCACGCCCACAATCTTCCCCCCAACCCCCTCACCCCCCAAAAACAATAAATATACACGAACCCCCCCCCCGCGCACACCCTCCCAAACAATCAACATAAAACCCCCCACACACCCCCCCAACAACCCCCCCCCCACCACACCCCCCCCCACAAAGCACCCCCCCCACACACACCCACCACTCCCCCCACCCTCACACACCCCACCCACTACCCCAAACGCACAAACCCTCAAACCCCTCCCCCCACACACCCCCCCCTCAACCCCCCCCCCCCGCACCCCACCCACAACCCCCCACCCACTCACCCCCCCCACAACCCCCCCCCACACACCTCACACAGCACCACCCACGTCCACCCCCCCCCACAAACCCCCCCCGCACCACCCCCCAAACTTCCCCCCACCCTCCAACTACCCCCCCCATCTCAACCCCCACCCCAACACACAGCCCCCCCACCAACCCCCACCCACACACACCCCCCCCAACACCCCCGCCCCCCACACACACCACCCCCCAAACCACCCCCACCCACCCCCCCCACAACCCCACCCACACACCACCCACCCCCACACACCCCCCCCCACCCCCCCCACTACCCCCACCACACCCCCCCCACCAACCCGCCCCCCCCCCGCCACACTACCCCCCCAACACCTCCCCCCCCCACCCCCCCCACACCCACCCCCCCCCCACACACGACCCCCCGCCACAACCCACAACCCAACAAACCCCCCCCCACACACCCCCCCCACAACCCCCCCCCACACAGCCACCACGACCACACACCCACCCCCACCACGACAACCCCCCCCCACACACACACTCCACCCAACCGCCCCCCCCACAACCACAACAGCACAACAACTACCAACCCCCCCCCACACTACCCCACCCCACAAACAACCACCACAACCCCCCCCGCACACACCCCCACCCCACTCCACCATCACCCCCCGCCACTAACCCCCCCCCCACCGACACTACCGCACCCCTCACTTCCCTCAACAAACTTACTTCCCCCCACACTCGTCCTCAAACCCCCCCCCAACAACCCCCCCCACACTCCCCCACAACAATACCACCCCACAGACTCTCTCCCGCCCCCACTATCCCCCCACCCACCCCACCCTCTACCCCCCCCCCACTCTCTCTCCCCCCCAACATCTACGCCCCCCCCACACACCACTCCCCGCCACACACAAACCCCCACCCACCACCCCCACACACCTACCCACCCCCACACACACCCCCCCCACTTCAACAACAAACCCCCCACACCACCACCCGCCCACACAACATCACTACCCCCACACACTCACAACTCACCCACCTCACCCCACAAACTAAAAAACCCACCCCCACACCTCTACGGACGACACACTCCCCCCCCAATCAACAACCACAACCCCCCCCCTCACACCCCCAACACACCCCCCACACCCACAACACTTCCCCCACCGAGCACACTCTCCCCCGGCACTCCCGTCCCCACCGCACTACCCCCTCCCCTCACCCCCCAAACAACCCCCCCCACACACACGCACTCCTCAACCCCACCCACCTACCCCCCCCCCACACTGCCGACCCCCACCAACCAAACCCCGCCTAACACAACAAACACCCGCCCAGGGAACAATCCCCACACACACATCCCACCCACACACCACACACCCCCCCCTCAACTAACCCCCACCCCTCTCACCCCCCAACTCCACCCCCACAACACACACCCCTCCCCAAACTGACCCAATACAAATCAACCCGCCCCACCCCGCCCACACCCCCCCCCACACACCACACCTCCCCCCCCCCCCAACACAAGACATCCCCACAATCAACCTACAACCCGCCCCCCGCACTCCACACCCCCACAATCCTGAACACCACCCCCCCCACACCCCACACTCTACCATCCTTTTTCCTACCCCCCACACTACACTCCCCACACGAAACTTTTTCCCCCCACACACTCTACCCCACAATCCACCCCCCCACACACCCCACAATCTTCTACCATCTTTGCCCCCCACACCTCTTCTACACTCCTCCACGACAACATCCATCTCCCCCACCCTCTCTCCCCCAAACCATCTTCGCCCCCACTACACTTCCCCACAAACTTCCACCCACACTCTCAACCCCACCCTCTTCCCCCACACTCTCTCACCGCCACAATCTTTCCCCCACACTATCTCCACCCACAAACCTTCCCCCACACTCTCTCCACCACTCCCCCACAAACTACCACCATCTATCCCCCACACCACTCTCCCCCTCCCGATCCAACTCACCCCAACAATACTTCGACCACCCACACTCTCACCTACCCCACTTCAATCCCCCACAATTTCTCATATCTCTCCCCCACAATCTTTTTTCTTCCCCACACACACCATCTCCCCCACAATCAATATCCTCTAACTTTTCCATTTATCCCCCACACTCACTCCCAACCCCCCACAATCCATTCCCCCACAACTCTCTCTCTCTCCTCCCCACACAAACTTCCCCCGCCCTTTCCCCCCCCCACACTCTCGTGACCCCACAATCTCCCCCCACACTCTCTCCCCAAATCATCTTCCCCAACCCCCCAACTCTCACTACCTTCCTAACCTCCCTCCCCACAATCTATACAATTCTACCCCCCACACACAACCACCTCCCCACTAATAATTCCCCCC